TTAATTCAAATTATTTAATTAAAAGTAAAAGAAAGCAATTACTCTTGAAATGCCAGGACACTTAAGGCTTCATTAATCTAAAAACAATTAATTGTATCGCTTTCAGTGTTAAATATACAGTGAAAATAGTGAAACAGGATTTTGTCGACGGAGAGATTGCAGCTAAAAGTTAGTTTTAGTGAAGCTACGGCTGAGATCACATTTCGTCCGGTTACGTTTATAAATATTTATTAGACCCGTGCTATGGCAATTTACAATTTTTAACTCGTTTGTAAAACTTCGCCAATTTGTTATATTAATTTAGAGGCTTTAAATATACGAATGATAATTCATTGATATCAGTAAGATAGATGCAAAAGTCCTCGACTACTGGCTAATGTGGCTTTATATTCTCAGATGTGAGCTAGACACGATTCTAGACAAGAGATATTGAAAGATGGTTGCCGAAAAAATGTTTGCTTTAAATCATGACTGCTTTTGTCATAGAATGCATGGATTAGCCGAATGCGCTTTCCTACAGAATTCGTGTTTACATAGTTACCTTGATCGAATTCTTAAAAAAAAAAAAGAAACAAAGAAGTCTCTCAGTTCTACATACATTTAGTAGAAAGATACCTTTCAATTTATTAGGTGTCACTTTTGCGAATGGTCTTTTTTATTTCAAACTTCTAACAAGCACAAACGGAAAACATATGCACAGCTGACGACATTCAATTAGCACAAGCGATTAATTTCTTCTCTACGTTAATTGCTTGAAGCCTAAATTTAAAAATAATACTATGTTAGTTGCCTTTGAATAGTATTGAGCAAGAAACCCCTCACGTTAATTAACTAACACCAGCGATTAACAGTATCCAATTTTGCCCAGCCATAGCCAGTTTAACTTATTATTGATTTATATCAAAGAAAGAGGGGAGGTTTCCTTCGAGGCAAATTGTTAAGAATTTCAAAAAAAAAAAAAAAATAATAAAACAACAACAACAAAGAATATTAATAATTTTATGACACATTGTCAGGTCAACGTTACGTATTAACACGCACTCACTGTGCCAATGAGTCTGCCTAATTTTATTATTTTTATCAAGATGAAAAGAGNAGAATTTCAAAAAAATAAATAAATAATAACACAACAATAACAAAGAATATTAATACAATTTTATGACACATTGTCAGGTCAACGTTACGTATTAACACGCACTCACTGTGCCAATGAGTCTGCCTAATTTTATTATTTTTATCAAGATGAAAAGAGATGCGTAAAAAACTAATGACATGAACGTGTTAAGTGCATGACCATTGGAATTAGTATCGAAACTAGTAATATTCATTCAGCGGGTACAAGATATAGCGGAAATATTAGAATGAAACACCTACGGATATTGCTAGAGGCGACCAACGTTGTTGCTAATTATCAGCATATGAAACACTTTCATGTATTGTCTCTGACTAGTAAAAATCTCCACCAACAGATTTCGTATGATTTCTTGAATTGGCATATCCATAATACCGTTGAATTTTAATGTTTTTTAGTCGCAGCAATATCGCTAATTTAACATAAGGTAATGTTATTGTAAGTATAATTTTCAGAAGTGAATATTTACCAATGTTCACTTTGCCTTTGGCGGATAATTGTTAAATGTAATAAAGTACTGCTCCTTGAGGATTGACTCACTGTAACTAATTCAAATTACAAAAACTCTGTATACGAGTGACTGGTAAAAACAACGTTAAAATTATGATTGTGAATCCCGAATAATTCATGACGTTTTTCTCATTCCAATCCAGCAGTCTCCTGCTTTCTGTTATGTTGGTATCCCTGGTATCCACTGAAAGGCTGGGTCTCCTGGGACACCAGGTCGTGATGGCCGCGATGGCCGTGATGGCCGTGAAGGAGTCAAAGGTGACTGGGGCAACCCGGGAAAGACTGGACCCCAGGGACCTCCAGGAACTCCTGGTTTTAATGGAAAGAATGGCGCTAAAGGAGAACCTGGAATCCAGGGCCTTCCCGGCGAAAAGGGGCAGCGCGGAGAGAGTGAAACAAGTGTAATCCCTGGGACTCCTGGTGTGATGGCTTGCAAGAACTGGAAAGAATGTTCATGGAAAAACTTAGATGATGGCAAAGACCAAGGCCTGATCAAGGTGAGTTTTTTGTTTTAGCATTAAAACAAGTTAGTTCTAACTGATCTTTGCGACTAAACTATAACATATGATTATATCTAGAAAATGAACTTAACGGAACAAAAATTACGATGAGAAGAGAGGATGTGATCATATCTTGCTTATGCTGATTATTTTGTTTTTACAGGAGTGTTTGTTCACCAAGAACGTCTCTGACACATCCCTCCATGTTTACTGGACTGGCGTTCTAAGAGTCTACAACTGTGACAACTGCTGCAA